CCCTCTCTTTCTCTAAGAGGACAGCGAGCGGAACACAAAAAATAAACTTCCGCAGCGACAACGACGGAAAGAGTCCTGTGTCCTCTTTTTTTCTCTCTCCCTATTTCTTGACAGTTTGACAACTCCAAGTCGTTAGGTTCGTGGACTTAATTGTGGTTGCTCCGCTACTTTCGATTCCCTCTCCCGAAACTCTTTGGTTAGTTTTCGTGCCGACGTCGAAGGGCAGAGAGGAGAAAGGGAGGGAGCAGAGGGAAACGAGGTCGCGATGAAAGAAAGAAAGAAATGGTGGGGTTTTGGGGGGTCAGGGCGCGGCCTTAAATAGGGGCAATAAACTGTGAGAGTGGACTTCATATGCCACCCATCGTTTAGCAAGTTGTGCGAAGGCCACCGCCATCATCACCCCACTGCCTTTTACCAACTGCGTTTAAGTCGGGGAAAATGTTTGGATACGGAGGGAAAAGGGGGCGGGGGGTTAAGGGTGCCCTGACCTCAACTCCGCCACTCTGCATACCTTGTAAAATGATGTGACCACTTGTTTACCCGGCCTCATGCCGACACGCCCAGAGGGTGCAAGGACATCACGGAGGGCAATGGTAGTGGCGAACAGAAACCACCCCTTACGGATGAAATGAGTTGCTTTATTTGGTTCTAGCTTTCTTTTCTAACAAATTTCGTAAACAACAACCACCACAACCACAAAAACATTGACAGTGCACTGTCATCGCGTTTATCCTGGTGGATCCCAAAAATGCGAGAGGTTCGGTTCTGCCAGCTTGGTACACAAGATGATCTGTGTTTACTTGACGAGATGGGGGTGGTACCCCCTCTCCCCCAGTCTCACTCCACCTTCTCTCTCTGTCGCTCGCGAGCGCTGGCTGCTGCTGTCACCCCCCCCCCTTTCCCATTTCCCTCCACCTCGGTTGCTCACTACATACATACAGTTCCGGATTATCCAGTCCAATCTCGGGACGCTGTGCCTCTCTCGACTCCTCGTTTTGTGTTTCCCTCTTAAAAACTAGACGCCAGCCCAGAGAAAAAGAGAAAAGAGAAACAGTCCGAGGGGAGACGAGGGGAGGGAGAGGGGGGGGGGGGTGAAGTAATGCAGCTGGATGCAGGCCACCCCGTCCCGACCCGGCGGCCCGGCGGTGCGGTGTCAGGAGGGGTAACGCGAAACACGTAAGACAGGTCTGGGAAAAGGCGAAAGGCTCGGTCTCCTCCTCGGTCGCTCGCGAGGGAAAGTCGCGCTCAGGGAAAAATAGGAGAAAAGGGCAGCCGAGGAAACGCGAAGAACGGCAGCATATAGCGGCAGCAGCGAGTGGAATATAGAGAGATGTGGTTCGCGCGTTGTTTCGTCAGCGCCAACCGGACGCGAACACGTTTTAATTCGCGATCTCTGGGAACGGCATTTCGTGTTTGCGGTTTTCGGGTCGCTGGACGAACCGTACCACGCCATGCCCCCTCCCTCCCTTCTCCCTCCCTCCTTCCCTCCAACGCACTTTTTGTCGAACGGTCGACCTGGACAGGACATGCGGTCTGGTCGGCTCGGGGCGATGTGTGCGAGAGAAAGGGGGTTGAAGGGGGCGGGAGGAGGGGGGGGGGGGGCTGCGGGGAAGAAGGGAGGCTCCGCTTCCCTCTCATTGTAAATGGAAGAGCTGTGTCGGTTGTAACCGAGCGGGTGCAGCACCCGTCCCGCTCCCTTGGCCCCGCCCTCTGCCACGCACCGCCACGGCCCCGACCCCCTCAACGAGAGGCCTTCACCCCCACGACACCATCGCATCCAGACGAGAAAGAATGCCCCCTCTCTCTGCCTTTCTTTTCTTATCGGCTTTGTTGTTAATGCCAAAGTTTTCTTACAGCATGTGCCCACATTTGTTGTTTCATTACCAGTCGTTTTAAGTTCTGTTTTCTTTTTGTGACTAATCTATTTTAAGTTGATGTTGTATGTTACTTGCATGTGAACAAATAAAAAAAATCCAAATTTTTCAAAAATTAATCGGAATATTTTGATCCTGCCTCAAACGCTAGGCGTGGAATGGCCAGAGTTCTGGAAAGGTGAGTAGGCCTGTGGTGCATACAATGACAAACCGACACACTTCAATGATCAGCTGACAGTGAGAACAGAACAGGTTGCGGTTGAGCTACATAACCTCCCGTCCGTGCCTCTGGCAACACTTTCGAGGATTTCTGATAAGAGAAACACGTTAAATCACGCTACGTTCGCTCGCAAAGGATAATTATAGAACTTTTACTTTAATTTCATTCCGCAGCCAGCAGTACAAATCAAAATAAAAAAAATTGGAACAGATTTTCGCGTTGTACAAGCAAATTGATCACAATGAAGGAGTTGTAGCTGGGAAGAATCAACGATTTTTGAGCGACTGTACGTATGACCGCTTTGGATAAAACGTATAGTCAGTTTGGCTGTCGCTTTGGACAGTCGACAGTCGCGTTTGCGTTCACGTCGTCGTCGTTGTCGTCGGTCGTCCTCGTCGCTCGATAGCGTTTTGTGCAATTTCATCACGTTTTTCTACTTTTCGTTTCCATATAGATGTGGACTTTGTGAGCAAAATGTGGCGTATTAAATTTGTGGACTTTTGAGTACGTTTTTCACGAAGTGGAGATCAGAAATATCGAGTGAACGGAAGGTATGCAACATGCAACAGGGGTTAGGTTGTCCTGACCTTGACCTTCCTCAACCTCAACTTGTTCTGTCGGATATGTCGGATCGTTGGCTGGGATGGCAAATGCCTTTGAACTGAACACGAAAATCCACAAAGTGAGTAAAAGTTTTTCTAATAGAAATTAAAAGCACTTCATCAATGAGTTATAGTGTCATTCATCATTTAATATAAATTTGAGCTTTTGCATGTCCATCTTGGGTAAAGTGTTCACTATTAACTGTCAAAGCTACTAATCAGTCACAATGTGTAGCATACTTACAACACATGTATGTTTTTACAGGGCATATGTATTAGGTCTCGGGACTCTTGATTATTATGAGGAAAACTTAATCAACTCCGTACCAGTCTTATGATTTACGAACCCTGTAAAACATATAAATTATGAAAACCAGGCTCTGTTCAAAAGCAATATGCTACTAAATGATAGATCCTTTTTAACTATATCCTTTTTAATTAAACATGAATTCATATAGACCTTTTTTCCCACAATGTCGCAACGCTGCAATTAGAAGTTTGTACTACTTGAGATAAACTGTATTTTGAGTGTCAACAAAATAACTCATCGCCAATTGATTCATTAGAAAATTTAAGAGGGACAGGTGTTTTTGCTATTTAAAAATTTGACCACATCACAATTGTACTGTAGAGATTTGCATTGTTGCCAAATTATGGGCAAAAAGGTCCATATTTCTGTGTTTCCTTTTTTCCCCTGTTTCGGTCATGTTGATTGCCTCCTATTGACTGCTGAATAATTCTAGTGCGACGTACGGTGGCGCCCCGCAGGGCTCTGCTGATCTCCTTGCGACTGCTTCCCCTCGTCTTTGCCAACTCGACAAACTGTCCCGCCCCTCCGCCCCCGCTGCCTTGGAACGGACTTCGCCCATGCCTCCTAATTTTTCGCCAAGCCGCCACCACCACCAACCGCCCTCGAGGGCGAAGAATGTCGCTCTTCCGTAACTTTTGATAAAGTTGACTTGAAAAGCCTCAACTCAGCGAAGGAGTTTTCCCATTAGCTCGAGCATGTATATGGATACATCTTCTTTAATCTTTAAATGCCTCGCGAGCCGGCCGGGCTGCTCTCTCTATCTCTTGCTCGCGCTTCTCGCTCTCCTCACCCCTTGCATATTGCGGAGGCCAAAGCGCCAAGTGGATACGCCTCATTATTTTGTGAAATGGATCCGCACTCGCGACTGGCCTCGACGGGCAAAATAAAAAGGTCAAGAAAATAAACTTTACAGAAAATATCCTTTGAAAAAATCGTACCACGACATTTCATCGATGTTTTTTTTTTTTCACCTCTTCATTTCTGAATGTTAAAAGCTCGAGCGCGCGGTGTGGAAACACGTAACAACGTAACGCTTTCTAAATAATACCTGAGTCGCGTGCAGCTGGCGGGGTGCCTCGCGGGGCCCGTTCCGTTCCGCGTAACGGCCTGACTCTGCGGTTCCCTTCGACATTCTTCTCCCCGCCAAAGCTCCCCATTCCCTCCCCACAGCCCCACCTCGCGCCCTTCAACCCTTCCACCCCCCGCCGCTTACTACCACGATGCTGCCACAAGACGTCGGGGAGATGTCACGGAGGTTGAACGCATTGTTCCTGACACGTGCTCACTTTCCCTCTTCTTTCTCTTTGTGCTGCCCTTATCGCCGGCGCCCAGATCTGGACGGGGACTCGCCGCCGGAGCCCGCGCCCCCCGAGCCCGCGCCGCCGGACCCCGCGCCGCCCGACGTGCCCCCGAGGGGCCCGTCACTGCACCGCGTCGGCCGCTACTCCCAGGACGACCTCGCCGGCGAGGAGCGCGCCGCCGACCGCATCGCCGCCGCCGCCGCTGCCAACGGCCCCACGACCAACGCCGCCCCGGGGGACAAGACCATCTACATCGCGCAAGGTGAGTGGCGACGACGGCGTGCCCGACTGTGTCCCGACCACGACTACGGCTACAACTTCCGGGTTGTTGTGTTGCGCGTGACTGACTGTGTGTGTGCCGTGTGCATGATCTTTCTATTGGCAGACCGTGGTGCGCTGGCTGTGCGGGTGTGTTAGCTCAGCAGCACACGTCCAGTGGTGTGGCGGGGCGGGCCGATCGCGATGCCGAATCTGCTGGCGCTGCAGCGCTGTGCGAATAGCCCCTGCTGCGCGCGCGCTCACCCCCCCCTCCTCCCCTACACACACGAGCTCGGCGGCGGCAGCCGGGCAGGACGTCGTACAGGCGGGGCATTCGAAAGAAAGATTATCTCTTCCGCCGATCCCGCGTAATAGAATCTGTTTCCGGGCGACGTCCGTCCTGCGGCGCACTTCCGGTCTCCCTCCTGCGCCTCGCACTGTTCTCTCCCCGCCGCGCCGCCCCTCCATTTCTCAACCTGTTCCCCGGTCCCGCACCCCTTCCTCCGCCCCCGCGCCGCCGCCGCTACAGCTCTTCTTCTTCGACGCCACACCGCATATCACTTTGAACGACGGTTCCTACCCCGTTCTAAACCCATCCCCGCCCTGCCCGCCGCGCCCCGCCCCGCCCCTGATGCTGAGTGTCCCGGCCGCCCCATAAAGGCTGCTGCTGGCCGGGGCTTTATCTCTGAAGAGGCCCGCCCCGCCCCGCCCCGCCCGACTAGTCTTGGCTGGGATTGCCAGAGCAGCTCAACCACCCTACCATCCCTCAGCGAAACCACCGCCGCCGCAACCACCCGCGCGGCCCGAACCATTGCCGGGGCGTGGTGGTGTGGCGGGGCGGGGTGCGGCGTGCCGACCCTCTCCTCTGCTCTCACCCCCTCTCTGGAATTATCCGTGGCCCAAATGCACGCAATGTCTGTGGAGATTGTCCAAGGGCGGCCACCCCCCGCCCCCCCGCCCGTACGTAAGCTTGCGGTCGCTTTAAAGTGGCTGGATGCCGCTCCCACTCGCGGGGCCAAATTAGCCCCTGGGAAGTGGCGGGGCGTAGCATGGGTGGATCCTGGAGCGGGGCTGGGGCTGTGACGGCCGTCGTCCTGCTGAAGAAAAGGGCGCGTCCTCGAGGAAGCGGGGTTGGGGTTGGGGAGGGTGGTGGCGTGGCTCAAGGAACCCTGTCCCTCTGCTTCAGAAGCTCGACGCGGGCCGCTCCGCACCCAGTTAGTAGGCACTGACTGGAAGGGTTGAAAGTTGTCCGGGGGTTCACTGTTAACGCCGTGGTCGCCTAACTTTGCCTAAGTGTTGGCAGTCCTTTTCAATTGCCGAATTTTGGCCTCCTTTTGAAAGAAAGCAAACTTTTGGCAAGCATGGAGGCTAAAAATTGGCAGCCTCCAAAATGACGACAAAAATTTGGCAATCAAGGCAAGGAGGTCAAAAATGGGCAGCCTCGAAAAAGACGACCAAAATTTGGCAAGCAAAGTGGCCACAAATTGGCAGCCTCCAATCGACTGCCAACATTTTGGCAAGTTAGGCGACCACGGCGTTAACAGTGGTGGGGGTGGTGGTTGGGTGTGCGTGTTCATGTGTGACCTTGCGCAACTGTTCTTATGTAATCGGTTGGGAGAGCCGTAAAACCTCGCGACTTAACCCCCTCCCCCACGCCTCGCTTACAGCCCCCTGCTCTCCTCCCTCTTCCTCCCCTCTTGCTCTCCCGCGCCCCTGCCCCTCTCCCGCTCTCTCTCTCTCTCTCTCTCTTTCTCGCACACAGGCAGCTCCGCCCCGGCTCTGCTGGGAATGATGATACGGCTGAATGTTTATGTAATCCCATTTAGGGGTGGTTTGGAATTGCCGCCCGGGTGACTCTGCAATAATAACAGTGTGGTGACTAGTGGGGGGGGGGAGGGGGCGATGGAGCCGGCCCAGATACGTGTAGGAGGCGGGGTGGCCGGGGGATGCGGATTTCCTATCGCCACTCTTCCAAGCAGCCCAGACGAGACGGCGAGCCTCTCCAAGACGGCGCTCCTCCTCCTACTCCTCCTCCCCTGGCACGTTGGCCTGTAGTGGGTGCCCGCCTTCTTCTTCTTCTTCTTCTTCTTCTTCTTCTTCTTCTTCTTCTTCTTCTTCTTCTTCTTCTTCTTCTGCTCCTCTGGCGCGGGCGAGGTATGCCGAGGACGGATTTCCGATTCGGGTATAAATATCCTCTGGCCGCCCCGGCAATACTACGACTACTACCAACGTCAGGGCGGTATTGAAAATGGCTCGGCCGTCGCCCCGCCCCGCCCCTGAACTAGGCCCGGTCGGGCGGCGCACAGATAATGTGAGGCCGCCGCCAGGCCGCCGGTCACCGCTGTAATATATGAAAAACTGGTCAGTGCCGCCGCGGGGTGGGGCGGGGCGCACAACGACGCGCCGCACAGGGAAATGAAACCATTATCCGAGCGGACTATGCCGCACCGGAGCTCGGAGCCGCGCGTTGGACGGAGACTGTGTCGCGTGTATACACACTGATAAATAAAGTGGTAGAGACTCAGTGGCTGAAATAGAGTTTACAACTTGATAGCTGAAATTAACTGTTCAATTTGGCGGTAGTGATAGTTCAATACTGAAGTGTTCATTGTGTTCAACTCCTTTGTCAAACACTCTACACTAGTGCGCAAAACGCTTGCAAGTCCACAACTGTTAAGGCGAACAATTGAAAGTGCCATTCAATTTACTCCTTTGGTTTTTGGTGATATTTTTACATTCTCCGGAATAATTGTTTGAGACCACTCTATGCTGCTAAGCTCGGTGTCGTTCGGGATTTTTTATTCCGTGTATTCCAAGCGCACAACATTCCTTACATTGCTCACGAAAAAAAAAATCGAAACTCGATGCACAAAAAGTAAGCTTTTTTGCTACCGTTTTGTGGAGTTAAACATAAGGAAATAGTGTTTGACAGCTCGATAGATACGTAGTCTGCACTGGTGCAGCAAAACAGCCTAGTCTTATGACAGGGCCTTGCCAAATAAATAGCAACAGCACTAGCTTATTTTTACTTAGCTTTGCAAACGATGGGAGGGCAGGCCCCCACCCCTTCAAAATTGGACCTAATTATCGATTTAATTTTATCTCTGTGCTCCCGTTTGTGATCATGCCCGTCTGCGTTCCGCCTTGCGCCCGCTCAGCCGAGCACAGCTGAGGGGCGCCGCTCGCTGCGCTATCCTATCCAATCCATGGGCGCATCGCAGTTCTGCTCGACCGGCTCGCAGCGGACAGGGAGAGCTGCGGGACTATAGTCTCATTCCTCACGCTCTTCTCCATTCACCCCCCCCCTCTCTCTCTCTCTCTCTCTCTCTCTCTCTCTCTCTCTCTCTCTCTGTTGGTTGCAAGCGAGTGCGATTGCTAACCAAAGGTGGCGGAGAGGAGAGGGAGCGTGACATAATATTTGGACGGAGCCCCGCCCAGCCCAGCCTCCCTCCCTGTAGCTGCAACCCCTGGTCAGGCAGAGGAGCGGGGCGGGCAGGGATTGTTCTGGGGCCTGCGCCTGCGGCCCGACTTTATTGCGGACTATTAACAAACAATAACACCAGGATGAGGAGGAGGAGGAGGAGGGGTTTTTAGAGCGGAGGGGGAAGGGGGGGGGGCACCCCCTACCCCCCGCAGTCATTAGCGCCGGCTGCTCTGGCCCGAACCTTGCGCGCCGCCGGACAGCACGCCCCGCTGCCCACCAGCCTGGCCCGGGGCTGCCCGGGGCTATCGAAGACCCCGGCCCCGCCGCCCCGCCCCGCGCGCCCAGCAGCGCCCCGACAAGCTCCTCCTTGCGGTGTTCCGAGGCGAGCGTGCGATTATCAATTATACATTCGAGGGGCGCCTGCGTCACGCACCGCTGCATCACTGTTGCCATAGCGGAAAACTATTCCAGTCTTCGGTCTCGAAGACGCTGCTCCCCGCCCAATCCAGCC